CTCTACAGGATTTCAGGGTGTTTTAACAATATTCTGCCCCTCTCTGACTGTGGCCCCTTCACCTCAGCTTTTCACATGGCAGCCACTTAGGCATGTGGATACTCACCTGGGCCTCCACAACATGTCTCTTTCAAAAACCTAAGCAATTTCTCCTGTGTCTAGCTCCAGCTGTTTCTGTTACAGTGAAGGCTTCTGGAAAGAAGCTGAGCCTGTGACTAACCAGAGATATCCCACTGACTCTTTCTGAGACTATGGGTCTCAATATAGTTTCCTGCTATTTTTTTTTTTTTACAAAAGACGTGTTAAAGGGAAGAGAAAGTGAAGAAAGTGGGGTTAGAGCTTCTCACTTTTATTTGGAGGATTTTATTCTGTAAGCTGGTTTCTAGTCCCAGCCTTGCAACTTTCTAGCTGTCTGACTTTAGGCAATTCACTAAGTATCTCTGAATCTCCTTTCTTCTTCTGTAAAATAACTAAAGCCTTCCCTGCCTACTGATTAGAGTTGTTAGGAGGACCAAGTGCTCAACCCCTATCTCCTCCATTAAGACTTCTCAGGAGTCATCTCTTTCTTCTATGAACTACCATTGTGTTTTGTTTCTTTCTTTTTGTACATTTTCACCTTAGACCATATTGTTATTTATGTATGCACATACATACTGAACTGTAAGCCCCATGAGGGCAGCAACCAGCTCATATTCTTCTTTGAGGCTTCGTCAACACCCAGCCTTGAACAAAGTAGACACTAAACCAGTATCTGTCAACTACTTGCATGAATGGATTTTTAAAATGGCACCACATTATACAAATATGGGACATCATTATTAGTCATTTTTGAAGTGCTGTGAGCTCTTTGGCGGGAAAGAATTCTATGCATGAAAACCCTGTCGTTATCAGTATGATGTTAGGAAGTTTCCTTCAGCCTATTATATACATACTCTCATGTGCACCTATTTATTTCAATGCATCTGTGATCTCACTGACATGGGAACTTCCTCCAATGTTACAGACTCACTACGATCTCCTTTTCCATTATCTTTGACTGCTTTGTCATTATTAGGATGCTGCAAGGCTTCTTATGTCCACTGGGAAGCAGCTGAGGTACAGTAGAAAGAGCACTCACTTTGTATTCCAAGGACTTTGGGTTCAAATCCTGTCTCTGAAGCTGTCTTGGACAAGTCACAGCCTCCTTAGACCTCTGTGTTGGATAAAAGGGTTGGACTTGATAGTTTCTGAGGTCCCTCCAGCTTTACATCTAGAATCTCTTATGATCCTATGGGTCCGTCTTGTTGCCCTTTAGGTGACTTGCAAATTTGACTCCTCAGAGATTGTGATTTATAGCCCATAATCATCATGAGAACAACTTTCAATGTGGATGTTGCCTCTAAAGTGTACAGATTGCAGTCCATCCATATTTTTTTATCTTGTGTGATCCTGGTCTATGTCCTCCCATAATTTACTGTTAGGAGTCTCCCTCTACTATTATTGACATTGTGTAGATAGATACCAATGAAGCAAATAGGATGTTCATCTTTTTATTATTCTCTCTCTCTCTCTCTCTCTCTCTCTCTCTCTCTCTCTCTCTCTCTCTCTCTCTCTCTGTCTCTCTCTCAACCTCTTCTATAACTCTGCAACACTTTATTGGTAATGTGTTACATAACCTATTCACACCCACTATGCGCCTCTCTATTACTCTTTGGTTGACCAACAACTTTAATTCTTTAGAGACTAGTATTTTGTGACCTAAGCATCATTGGAAGAAAATTGGTGTCAAAAGAATTGGCCTTTGTTTTTAAGGAGCTTGGAGTTATTAAGTGTACTATGAAATTTCCCAAAGGCAGTCCAGTCCACCAGCCTTTCCTGTGTATGTATTGTCTTAAAAAGGTTTGTAGCGAGAACCAGGCATATGCATCAGTAATAATTAGCGTTCTCTTGGTTGCCTTTCTTTTTTGCAAAATAATAGGGTCCAAGATTTTTCCCAAGCATTTTGTATTCTCCCCCATTTCAGATACTTTGACAATTAAGAATCTTTGATACCCTCAAAGTTGTCACATCTGTTTATACTTGGTCTAGTCCAAGTTATTTCAAGTTTAATATCATAGTTCCAATATTAGCCAGGCATTTTTTTTTGGTTTTCTTTTGTGGAATTTCTACTTCTTCATGCAGTACTTTAGAGACTGTAAGGTTATGTGGTAGCTTTACTGTTATTAAAGGAGAAAAGAATTTATTAGATAATGAAACATCCTCATTGAAATATATTAGGTGCAAAAAAAAAAGTACAGACAAATGTAAACAAACTTTGAAGCCTAGTGTTTAATGAACCCCAAAAGCCCAAATAATGGGGTAAGAACTCACACTATTTAACAAAACTGCTGGCAGAAATTAGATTTAGACCATCAGTTCACACCATATGCCAAGATAAATTTAATGACTTACACATAAAAGGTCACATCAAAAACAAATGAGAGAAGCAGGGAAGAAATTACCTTTCACAGCTATGGATAGAAGGAAAATTCAGGAACAAATGAAGGCTAGAGAAGATTACAGAAGATAAAATGGACAATTTTGATTATGTAAAATTGAAAAAATTTTGCACAAACAAAACTAATGCAGTTAAAATTAAAAAGAAAAGTATTAGCTGGTGGGGAGAAGAAATCTTTGCATGAAGCTTCTCTGAAAAAGTCTTATTTTTGAGATATATAGTAAATTGATTTAAATTTATAAGAATAAGAACTATTCCCCAATTGATACATGATCAAAGGATATAAATCTAATAGAGTAGTATTGTACCATAAAAATGATAAAAAAAAAAAGAATAGTTTCAAAGAAACCTGGGGAGAATTATAAGAGCTTACATAGAGTGAAGTAAGCAGAATCAGGAAAATAATTTATACAACAACAAGTATTGTAAAGATGAACAGTTTTGAAAGACTTAAGAATGCTGATCAACTCAGTGACCAACCACAATTACAGAGAACCAATGATGAAGCATGCTGCCTGCCTCCTGATAGAGAGGTGATGTACTCAAGATATAGAATGAGACATAATTTTTTTAGACATGGTCATTGAGGGAATTTGTTGTGGTTGACTGGGCATATTTGTTATGTGGTTTTATTTTTTTCTTTTTCAATGTGGTAAAGATAAGAGAGGGAGAAAATTAGGCCTTGTTAATTAAAAAGAGAAATGTTCAAAAGTAAGCATAGTGGGACCTTGTATTCCCTACGTCTTTGTTAATTGTTTTGGATGTGCTTTGCTGTGTAATTTTTTTAGTGGAAAATTAAATAATCTCTAAGAAAGTCAAGAAAACTGCTCTACTTTTGGCAGAGGGAAATCTCAGCAGATGTCCAGATGATGGAAGTCTCCATCACCACTATAGCATATCTCCATACTATGCTTATGATCTATTTCCCAAATTCTTTACTATTTCCTCTTTCTATTTAGGTGGCGTATAATATACTTCTTTGATAATACCGCACTGGTATTATCCTGCTACTGGGGGAGGCTGAGACCAATGGTTTGCTTGAGTTTAGGAGTCCCGAGCTACACTACAGCTAAAGTCAATTCAGCGTCCACACTAAGTCCAGCACAAATATGGTGAGCCTCCAGTAGCAGAGGGCCACCCAGGATGCCTAATGAGGAGAAAGCTGGCCTAGATCAGAAAAACCAAACTGGCTAAAGTCTCTGTACCAATCAGAATTAGGATCAGGTTTTGAGTAGCCACTGTACTTCCGACCTGGGTGAGTGAAGGAGACCGAGTCTCAACAACAATAACAAGATATCATTTTTGTTTCTTTACCCAAATGATATCCACCATATTTTTTCCCTCTAGTTCCTGTACTTCCTTCCATGAGTATCTTTTTAAAATACACAATGCTACTCTGTCCTCTCTGTAAACTTTCTTTTTCCAAAGCCATATTCCAAGTATAAGTCCCATCCTACCAAGTTGCAGTGACACCTATAATGTCAAATTTTCCTCCTTATATGATGAGCTCTAGCTTCCTAGAGGAAGCTATTCTGTGTATTGTATACAGACATCTGAAATCATAGGTTTTATTACTGATTCCCTTTTTAGATCCTTTCTCTTGTGAGTTTCTAGGAATTTCTACTCCTATTCTTCTTACATGGTAGTTACTCCCTATGGTATTAAGCTTGGTGAATATATGTAGGCAGTTTCTTCTCTTCCTCTTTCCATTATAAAGAAACTTGATTTGATTTGCAGTTTGCAAAAAAAAACTCTTAAGAAATTTTTTTACCAGTTCTTGTGAAATGTACTCTATTCCTGGCCCAGAGCCTGTCATTACAATATTGTAAACTGTGGTCCAGAAATCAAGTTCTGATCTAAAAATGAGCACCCTGACCACAATCCCATGGAGACTTCTTTAGCCTATGTGCGGTATTGAAGAAAAGTAGAGGATAACAAGTATGATTCTTGGGCTAGAAAATGAAACTTTTGAGGAAAACATAAGGGAACAGGGTTATTTTGCAAAAAGATAAGGAATAATTTAATACTGAGCCATAACTACTAAATAAGGTAATTGTTATGAGGCTCAGTTGCCTAACTGCCATCTCATCCATGAATGTTTATTTCTCTGATCCTCCTACTCAGAAGCAATCCTTTTCTCTCCTGACCTACTATAGTATTCCTAACTTGTTCCAACAACAACAACAGTAATAATCACTGGCATCTATGTGTTTGCAAAGCACTTACCCTACATTCTCATCTGGTCCTCAAAACAGTTCTTTTAAATAGGTGCTATTCCTCCATTTTATAGATGAGAAAATTGAGGCTTAGATTTAAGTGGCTTGCCTAGGGTCATACACTATTAAGTGTTTGGGACAGGCTTTAAACACAAGTCTTCATGATTCCAAGTTCAACACTCCATTATGCCATGGTATATTTATGGTTTTTGCAAAAAAAAATTAATAAAGCATTTATTAGATGCTTACTACATGCAAAGCATGGTGGTGATCAACATGGTAGTGATAGTAGTTCAACTTGCCTGGCACATGCTGCCTCCTTTCCTTCCTTCAGGATGCCTTGCTGCTTCTGCTAGGCTGGCTTGCCTGTCCTCTGAGAGGCAGTCAGTTGACAATCGGTGGTGATGGGGTAGCCAATTCTCCACAAGGGTGGCTTTTCCTAGATGAGGGCATTGACAACTGGGTGAGAAGCAGGACCCGTATTGTGGGAGGTGCTACCTGTCCCATGGCTCCTGTGCTTATCTATTCATTGGTAAATAAGCCAAATCATCCTCTAAGGTGTTTTCCTGCCCTGAGATTCTTTGATTCACTTTGGTTACATAGAATTAACCTAAATGCTAGATATTTCCTTTTTTCTTTCTTCCTTTTTTGACCTTGGTTAATATGTTGCTATGACAGGCATTACGGATAATGCAGTAGGGGACCAGGAATTAGACCCAGTGGAAGAGAAGTTGCGCTCAAAAATGGAGGAAGAAAAAAAAAGGTACCACTTAATTCCTACTGATCATTGCGCAAATTGACAATAAACCTTATCAAAATGGTCCATAGCACATATATTAAAAAGCATGCGTGCTCGGTGATGAAACTACCAGGGATGCTCTCAAAAGGTTCCTATGTCTGTCACTGGTCTAGATAAGTGACCCCTGGCATCAAAAGATTGACGATGGCCTCATGACCCCACCTTTTTTATTTGTATTCTCTAGTGCCTCTCTGTAGTACTGAATCATAAGAACACACTTAAGTCAGCTGTTTAGGACAGAGATGTTATATTATTAGGGAGTAAGAAATCTCAGGGTGCAAACCTGTATAGTTAATTACAGGTATATGGCATATTCATTGAAGCCAGACTTCTGTATTAAACTGCAGGCAGTTTAATTACTCAAGTCTGGCTTCTTGGTTCCAATCTGTTTCATACTCACAAACTGATTAGGCAACGACCCTTAGCCTCCTTGTCCTAGGAGAAGACAGAGTCCTTTATGGCTGTGTTCCAGGTATAATCCCCAGATTCAGAATGTAGTTGTATTCCCTAACAGTCCCTAATAACTACAGAATACCTGCTTTCCTCCTTGGACTGTACTCCTAGAACTTCCAGAATCCCATCTGTCTGCTCTCCTGGGGCATTTAGCCCAGCTCACTGTGCAGAAGCTACGTAGTTCCCTTTAGCTCTTGAGTCAATCTTTTTTATCCATCTCCCTCATCATTTCTTTTTCTTACCTTTTTTTCCAGTCTATTCTTCTCATCTCCTCAATCTCTTCTCCCTCAGTTATAGCTTTCCCTTGGTCATACTCCCTGCCTCCAAGCCATTTTGACTGACAACGTATACAACCCAGGACTATCCTGTCTTTTGTTAGAAAGCTTCTGATTTATTTTTATATAATATCAGTACCCCTAAAGCCCACATTTGCCTTAACATAGATAACTTCTGTCCTAGAACAAAAAAAGAAAGTGGAGCAGAGGAACAATTACAATATATATGTAATTAGGGAGGAAATTATTCATCACACACATGCATATACAGACACACATACACACACACACACACACACACACACACACACACACACACTTCCCCATAGAACCTTTTATGGTACTAAAATATCTCACCTGGATTCTCTATCATGTTTTCAACCAACTGCCTCTGATGTCTATATTTGTTCCATCATAATCTGGCCTTAATGGCTCAGAATTTTTTTGTGAATTCCCAGACCATCAGACATCAGAGAAAAAACTTAGACTCCACAGAAGCTCTTGTGTGAGGAGCACCTCTGCTTTTGAAGCACCAAGCTGTACTGGCAGCTGCCCCTGGGATCTGACAAGTAGAATGAACATTGACCTAGGTCCCTTAGGTGGTGACTTTTGATGCAGCCAACGTAATGATTCCTCTTCATTTCACCGTAGCTACAAAAAGATGTTTACTCACCTGAAGGGCCTAAAGGTGGAAATCGAGCACCTGCAGCTACTAATGGAGAAAGCCAAGGTGAAACTGAAAAAAGAGTTTGAAGTTTGGTGGATAGAAGAGGCAATAAATCTGCAGGTACCTTGTGGTCACCTCCCTGTGCCCCTGAGCCACTTGTCAGAAAAATGTCAGGGCAGTGCTGGGAGGAGAAGCTGGCAACAGCAGTGGCTTTCAGCTTCCCTTCAAGGGGTGTCGGCATTGAAACTGACCCTCCCTGGGAAAAGAATAAACTTCTAGGGGTCTTCTGCCCCCTGGTAACCCCTAGTTCTCATAGCCTGGTGAAAGGCTATGTTAGAGGGTGTGGTCTTTTTCTCCTAAGCTGATGATGAATGCAGAAAGTTAACACCTAATAATTTGACTGCTTCAGTGGCTAATAAGCAATTTATACACAGAAAGTCAAAAGTGTGAAAATGGAAGATCACCAGGGCTGCTGTTACTTCTTATATGTGATTCTTGCTAGGACTGTCATAAATGCCAAATTAAACACTCAAATTAGTATTAGCATTAAATTATACCACTGAAATGGTGAGAATGTGGGCATGCATTTGCATAAGTATATATGTGTGAATATATGCATATATACACATATATTATGTGTCTATACATACATACACACGTGACCTATGAGTTTCTTTATATCTTATGTATTTGTTTTTCTGGATATGTCACCATGCAATCAGTACATTTTATAGAAGCAAAGAATCTTGTAGCTAGAGAATACCTATATCATCCAACCTTTTCATTTTACAAAACAGCAAAATGACCTAGGGAGATGAGGTGATTTGTCCAAAGACATAGTCCCTGATAGAACCCCTACCTCATGTCAGACCAAGGCAGCTGGTGCACCAAACACCAGGCATACTAACTTACTACCAGAGATTTGCCTGAGTCACTGAAAGGTTAGTATGTGTCAGGCTTGAATTCAAGCCTTCCCAACTCCAGGTAACCAGGCCCTGGAACAAGTCACCCTAGGGGATTGTGCACTACCATTTATCGGAGTCCAGATAAAGCCCAACTGATACAAGTTCTCCTAGGTCATCTCTCAGCTTCCTTACAGCAGGGAGGTAAACTAGTTAGTATGTAGGGTTCTGATTTCAGTGCTCAGCCTTGACTTATGGTCTGAAACTCTAAAGTTAAAAGGCAACTCTAGACAGCCCTAACCGCTGATAGATTTTGGCTTCCTAAAACTAGAATAAAGCTCTAAAAATGTCTGTACCCGAAATAAAAGACTCTGTGTGGAGAGCTATGGCAGTGCCCCAGAGGATATACATCTTTGTTATGTTGGTATTTGAAGGGAAGAGGGAAGGAGAGATGAGGAAGACTGGCCATCTGTAGAGTCCTATTTTTTTCACATTTTTCACATGTTTTCATATTTGATCCTCACAACTATCCTGTGAAATAGGTAGGATATATTAGTCCTATTTGATACTGAAGGGGATTAAGGACCAGAGAGGTTAAGTAACTGCCCAAATATACAAACTGAATCAGTTCTGAAGCTAGGACTGGAATCTTCATTAATAAGAACTGACATTTATATAGTGTTTTAAAGTTGTTGAACCATTTTATTTACATTATTATATTTGAGCCTCATGACAACCCAGTGAGTTTTACAGATGAGGAGGGTGAGGTTCAGAGAGGTTAAGTAATTGTCCACTGTCACACAGCTAACTGTCAGAAGGAAGATTCAAAAAGGGGTATTTCACTGCCAGTTCAGTGCTCTATCCTCTATGCCACCCTGCCCAATGGTTTCCAACACATGCTTATTCAACTAGAACAGAAAACACAATCACTTCCTCCCTCACGTGCCAGCTGGATTTTGTCCCAGATCCACCCTCAACATAACGTTTTATTTGAATTGCCTTTAATGTGAATTTCTAGCACCAAATCTTAAAAAAGTTCTACATTCAAATTGCAACAAATATCAGGACATGATGGAGGAGCAGGGCTAAACACAAGGAATGCTTGGGAAGTCCAGAGATTGAAGAGTACTACAAGAAAACTGTCTAAAAAGTAGCAAATTCCCCGGAGAATTTCCACCATGACAGAGAATACCACCATTCTGCTAAGTGATAATTCTCCATCTGGACATTCAGGGCCAAAAAGAATTCTCAAGAAACCATAAACACCGTCCAACAAAGACATGCCCTTTGTACGTAGCGTTTGGATTTCTTCTAATTATGGCGCAGTCTGAGCAGAAGGAGGAAAAAAAGAGATGGGATGAGCTTTCTGGGGGGATTTGTTGTTGAATTAGGCCTTCAGATGCTGCAGAGCAGCTGCTGTAGAGGAGGGTGAGGCTTTAGGCAGCACCGCTGTGCTATCATGGAAAGTGAATGGATTCTGGCATCCAAAGACTCCATTTGTAATTGGCTTCTTACTAACTGGGTGACCTTGATCAAACCTTTAACCTCTTTCAGCCTCAATTTCCTCATCTATAAAATGGGCATAATAATAAGCTAAGAGGTTAGTGAGAAAAGGGAAAGAAAGTTGGATGTGGTCGTCAAGGTGTAAAAAAGGCACCAAAGAGGTGTCAAGGTCAACCAGAGACTGAGGATGTCACTTTCAGCAAGCATAGATGGAAAAGGAGAGAATGGATTACAAATCAAAATCCAATGCTATGGTGTTTACAGGAAGCATACTCGAAGCAGAAAGATGCACAGAGTTAAATTTAGGGAGTGGAACAGAATCTACTATGCTTCAGCTGAAGTTTTTTTTAAAAAAGGAAGGGGTAGAAATCACGATCTCAGACAAACCAACAGCCCTAATTTAAAGAGATAATCAGGGAAGGGCAGCCAGGTAGTGTAGTGGTAGAGTGCTTAGCCGTGGAGTCAGGGAGACCTGAGTTCAAATCTAGCTTCAGATACTTACTAGTTGTGTGACCTTGGGCAAGTCATATAACCCTGTTTGCCTAAGTTTTCTCATCTGTAAAATGAGCCAGAGAAGGAAATGGAAAATCATTCCAGTATCATTGCCAAGAAATCCCAAAAAGGACACAACTGAAAATGATTCAGTAACAACAAATAGGGAAACTCTATTTTACTGAAAGATAACATACAGACAACAAATTAGTATCAAGACTAAACATACATGCCAAATGGCATGTCACCTAAATTTTTAATGGGAAAGTTAAATGAGTTACAGGGAGAAATAGACATTAGAACTATAGTTGTTGTAGCAGCAGCAGCAGCAGCAGCAGCAGCAGTAGT